ATAACATATTTATGCATAATATTTTTATTTGCCCGATGACCAAAATCTAACAAAATAAATTATGTTCTAAGGAATATATTTTTAAAAAATGTTTTCATATGGAGCATAAAAAGAATCAACGATTCTTAATTGTAAACATTAGAAAATGTTTTTGTTTTATTTATCTTTGGACTACTTTAATTATATCATAGTCATAGCACTGCTTTATTGTCAATTCAGGCTATTTTTTACTTCGAGATTTAGTCAAAATAGAACTTAACTATTTTTGTTTCATTTATTTTTTGTATAAAATTGTAGAATTGTAAAGTTTAAATAATATTTTATTAATAACCATTTTTATTGTTTGAGGATATGATACAGTAAATACAATTATTTTCACATAAGCAATTTTATTAACAGTTACTTGAAAAAAATTATTATTTCATCGGGTGTCTCTCAAGAAAAACGACTTCTTTTATGGAGTCACTTGAAATTAGGAAATCCTTGAATATACTCTTATAATATTAAATGTATAACATTGATATAATATTTTTGTATTTATTTTATAAATAATTATTAAATACAGCTTGATAAATTATTTTCATTAATTACGTATCCTTTGCTAAACATAAACTAAAAATAGTATATTATAATATTTTTAGTATTTTACCCGTATTATATGTGCCTATTTTTAACAGATTTTATGATAATAATATTTAAGAATATATAATTGCATTAACGTGTAGAACATCTGGCTCTCGGTAATATATGTGTGGGTTTAATTGTGTATATAATATTTGTATGAATACAAATACAATAAAAATAATAATTTATGATACGTAATTTTGCTGTTTTTATATTTTATTTTGCTCAACAAACCAATAAATTAAGTGATTTTATTTTTACCTGTTATCGAAGTAATCAAAATAACTAATCGAATCAAAAATAAATTAAGTTTTAGTTAAACATTTTTTTTTTAGTACAAAAAATCAAAATCTTTAGCGTATACAAAATGTATTAAAACTGTAATTCAGGGTGTATTTTTTATTTTGATAAGAAAAATTCATTATTCTTAATTAGTTTTGATGTGTTCATATTTTTTTATTATTATAAAAGGCTACATATATATCCTTTTATTATTTTTTTTCGTTTTCTCGTACAAAAATCTCTAAAAGCGGTTACATACAAAAATTAATTAATTATTAGTATTAATTATTGATACTTTGGAACAAAAAAATAACAAATTTTTTTGTTATAAATTATAAGTATTAGTTTTTTTTATATAATATATAATTAATTTAATACATATAGTAGTCGTAAATAATTAACTAAAAATAATTTAATATTTAATTTTAATTCATCAACGTTTTCTGAACAGTATTCCTATTTAGATAAGTCTAATAAAAAGTATGTAAATTATAAATTACTATTTTTTTTAATTTTTTTTTTTGCAATTTTCACTTAAAAACTAAAATGGTGTTTTTAAAAATATACAAAGTGACTAAAATAATTATTACTGTTTATAAAAAAAAAAAAAAACATTCTTGCATGAATTTAAGTAAAAATGGGTGGGATTGTTTTGAATCCTTTTTTTATTATATCTTTAAGCTATTTTCAAAGTCAACATGATAACAATACAAGTTAACTATTTTATTTCTAGTTTATAACGTTGTAGTCTCTTCAAGTTATTATAGTTTTTTAAAAATATTTTTAAGTAAACAACAATATACGATTAGCTTATAATGTTTAGCTTGTAATCATTTTTTATCTAATGAGACAGTCATTAAGTTGACTATACTAAAACTCAATATAAAAATATTTTTTTGTGGGTCCTATACTATAAAACCCTACATATATATTATTTAAAAAATGCAAGGTCGTCTTAAGTCTAGACTGAATTACTGATTTTAAACACATTAATGGAAAAAGATAATAGCCTAAATGTTATTTATTTAAAGGGATATAGAAGCAAGACTCTTCAGTATTTTTTGTAGTCTTCTCGTGTCAACTGTATTGAAAATCATGTTGTATTTCAATGTAAGTATACTATTAATAACTATACATTTAATTTAAATGCTTTAATTCTTAATTTTTTTGTTTCTTACTACTTTTTGATATCCTTTCGTTTAAAGTAATAATTTGTTTTAATTTTAAACTAAAAATCAAAAACATTAATACAATTGATATGTGCATTTAACATTTAATTTTAAATTTATATTTTAGAATTAAGAGTATATTTTTTTCATCTATAATTACGTTATTAAACATTACTGCCATCTGTAATAAATTGATTAAACATTATCCGAAATTTAACGTCATATATTTTTGTTGCTCATATACATTTTTGAGTATATTTAGGAAAAATTAAGAGGCATTAATTGTGTACAATTTTCACATTTTATTATTATCGAAACTAATTTTAGTATAATAACTTTGCTTATATAAACGTTCTGATAATCACCAAAGACTTCAGTTGCTAGCGTTCATATTTTAAAAACATTTTACATAATAATACGGAGATATTGGGTACTAACTTAAAAGTTTAGTTTATACAATTCGTATGTAATTTAAAATTTAATTTATGCTTCTTCCAATAATATCAGTAAAGACTATTTAGTAGCAAGGTACCAATTGGTTTTCTAATATATTATAAAAGACAATTTATTTTTCTAGTTCTAAATAACTAGTTCTATAAAACCTTGTCTGAAAATGTTTAATTAATTTATAATGCATTGTTTATATGATATCATATATATATATATATATATATATATATATGTTGCTTCAATATAATATAATAAATATGGTATACCAAAACCTAAATTATAGAGATTTCTAATCATTAATTACATTTATTTTCTCTGAAAATAAGATTCTTATTTCTAAAAACAAAATGTTATTACAGTTAAAGTTTTATAAAATTAAATTTCTTCTGAACTATTTATTCTATTTCGCTTAATTTTCAGGTTATTTTATTATTGCCCGCTCTCGCGTGTATGGTTTACGCTGAAACCAAACCGCTCAAAGGATTAATATTAAATCATTGTAAATTTTTTAAAAAACCTCATGTTAGTCATTTGTCAATCACTACACCTCTACCGGTAAAATCTACAACGCCAGTCAAGTTCATTCCCGTGGAAATAGCTTCTACGACAGAATCAACCTTGTATCCACCGGTTCCTCTTTTATCAGAAATACAGTATCCACCATATAATCAAGTGCAATATCCATCACAAAACCCTATTTTATATCCACCGCACCAAGAAGGAGCGTATCCATCTGAACACGAATGGCAATATTCGCCACAGCAAGAAGGACCTTATCTACCACAACCAGAAGAGCAATATCCAATACAATCAGAAGTACAATATTCACCACATCAAGAAGCAGTGTACCCGCCGCAGTATGAAAGTCAACGTCTAACGCAACAAGAAACACAACAGCCATCACAACAAGGACAACAGCCACTGGAACAAGATGAGCAGAAATCAACTCAGCAAAATGGACAACAGCCACCACAACAAGGTGGGCAACAGCCACCGCAACAAGGTGGGCAACAGCCACCACAACAAGAAGCACAGTATCCACCACAGCAAGAAGTGCAATATCATGCTCCATACTATCAAGGCTATCCATATAATTACAGACCATCTGAATTTGCTTATATCCAACCACAGGTGGGTCCGATCCAAAAATCTATTGGATCTTTCAATACCCAACAATTCCCGTACAACCAAAGATTTTACTATATACGACAACCCTATTCATACGGATATTACTCATCCCCATACTACTATTTACCACCAGCCTTAAACGTACCTCAAGTCCCCATTAGAGGTAGTATAAAATCTACTTAATTATTTTGTGTACTTAACATTTTTACCGAAAACAAAAATTATTAAAAACATTTAAATATGATAAATTGTAATACGTTTATAGGAATATTTTGGTGGCTATCTGAAAATCTGTTTTAAAATGCTGTTGGTTAAATCAAAATTATTTTGCAAACTCATACAATAGCCTATTTGTGTTTGGTGTTAGTTGATGTTATATTAGCTTTCATAATGGTTACTCCACAATTTGTAGGATAGTTTTTTAAATATATGTTTATATTTATTTATTTTATTTTGTCAAAATCAATATTGTTACAGTTCACTGTCCACAATGTTGTATAAAAAAATCTATAAAAAGAATGAGTGATATTCTTCAAGGTTGTGACGTAAAATAATCTAAAATTAAATTAAAACTGGAATTTCTTTTTATATTTCAATTAACTTACACAAAATGCTTTAAAAAACAAACTATTTTTTATAATGGTTTTATTTAATTTTTAACTAACATAATTTAAGTGTCAAGATTCAAGCTTTTATAGATCATAAGGTTTATTATGTTGAGAAACTAAATTAATTTTATTGTTTTACCCAATTTAATAGTACTTACTGCTTAAATATATTTTTAATCTATTTATTTATAAAAATTGTGTCGAGTATAATGTGCAAGTATATACTATTGACTAAAAAGTTTGTAGATAATTAGTATTAAATAAAAACATACTATTTTGTCTTAAAGAAAATTATTCGTTTTGCGTAACAGTTTCTAATTTTGGTTGGAGTATATTTAATGTAAGCAATCATCATGTGAAAAATATAAAAACCACAAATTATTCAATTGAAATATATTATTGACTTTAACTCATTAAAAAACAATTTATTGAAATGGAAACAAGTGTATATATAATATAAATATACACATATTTGTTTTATGATTTTGTTTGGTTAATTTTTTTTTTTAAATCGTAACAGTTTTTTTTGTGTAATACGGAGTGTTATTTAAATTACTACCTCCGTTTTTTTTCTATTTCATTTATACATAAAGACACAAAAGACGTGTCTTCAAACACACCGGATTTCACATATAATAAATTCTTATGAACTGTGAGATTCACCCGACATCTTCAATGTTAACGATCCAAGGTCGCCTGGATTCGCATGTTTTTGGATTTATCCGTGGGGATTAATCAGACTATATATACTTCGATTACTAAAAGTTTTGCATATACATTTAGTGTTTGGTCGTTAATCTGTTCGTATCCACATTTGATATTCTACACCAATAATGCAAGGAATTAAGGTAAGTACCTACATTTTAAACTTACACATAGAATTGACTGATTATTTTTAGTCGAACGATCCACCAAATTTACATATTTTATTTATAGTATTTCAATATATCATCGAATAATTTTAGTCATATTATTCTCTCATCTTTTAGTTTCGCATTTTATAACATTGTCCAGCCATTCATGCACAAGAAGCTCACGTGAATATCTCGATTTCGAGTTTTATTTCCTTTAATTTACCTCCGTACACGTAACCCACCGATTGCCAAAGAAATGTTGTAAAACGACCATTGCAAAAGCGCATATCGATCATTTGTCGTAAACGTTGAAAATCAAACGGTTTTATCCGTAAGAAACGTTCTCATAGCCTAGAATAACATAACGAAAACGTTACGCGCCTTTCTTTGCCTTATTTTACTCGTAATGTATTATAATAATGTTATATTTCCTTGTCGGCTTAGAAGACGCTAGTGCCACGATCTCCTGACCTAAGCATTTTATTATTATATTTTATTATTACATTTGTATACTGTCCTATGACTGGATAGTTTCCCTTCTCGCTTGTTCGTATTTGTTTTGTTTTATGTTATATCGTTTCCACAATTTGCTTATCGTGCGAAAAAATATACACATTCTAAATGTTGTAATTTTTAATGGAGAATAAAAATAAATAAATAAAAAATGTTATCTGTACTTATTTTCTCGTCCGTTGCAGACCGTCGCTCTGCTGTGCGCAGCTCTCGCCTGTGCTACGTACGCGGCCGAAGAACCGTCGGCTCCGGCGCAGTACGATTTCACGTACGCGGTAAACGACCCGAGCACGGGCGACCAAAAGGACCAGCAGGAGACGAGAAACGGCGACGACGTGACCGGCTACTACCGCACGTTGGACTCGGACGGCTACGTGCGCACGGTCAAATACAGGGCGGACGCGGTCAACGGTTTCACAGCCGAAGTGATCCGCGAGCCCACCGGTGCCACCGTGCCCGTGCCCGTGGCCGCGCCCGCCGTGCCGGTGGTCGCAAAGGCCGTGGTGAAACCGGTGATCGCCGCGCCCGCACCATACGTCGCTCCGGTGCCGTACGTTCCAGCCGCCCCCGCTGTCGCTCCGTACTACTACGGATCGTCCGCGTACCCGTACAACTACCAGCCGTACTCATACGGGTACCAACCGTACCCGTACTCGGCCGCGTACTCACCGTACTCTTACAGCCAGTACCCGTTCAACAGCGCGTACACCGCTCCGGTCGTCCGCAAGTGAAAATGCCGTAACCCAACGGTTCCTCGGCACCGCCGGCTCGTGTACAACGTACACAAACGACTTCCACGCTGCTTGAAGTCTCGCGGATTCGCTCGCGAAATACTTGGCCAGCTCTCTTCTGCTGTATTTTTTATCTTTTGAACAATGTATATTTTCTTGGTGTGATCTTACGTTTTTGAATGATGGTGTAATATAATAATAATAATTGAATAATGATGTACGATTAACAACGTAATAAATGTTTTTCCTTCATATATACAACTACTTGTGTGATTTTATTTTTATTTCATCTACCCTCGCTACAACAAAGAATATTTTGCCGTTATTTCAATTCCTTCGCTTGCAATAAACATAGTATGCGTGCGATGTACTTGTCTGTATTAATCATATGATATTAATTTTGATCTGCCCTAAGTTTGTTACGAGAAAAATAACGTATTATTAATGAACAACAAAGTATAAAATTAACTGTAGTTTAACTTAAAATCGTATGGTTCAGTGCTTATTGAACAAAGACGAATATCATGACATCATATAAATGATCCAATGATTGCATGTAATTTTTATATATATTATTTTACTTAAATATATATTGGGTTACGTAACTATATAGTTTCTAACACAAAAGGCTAGATTTGCATAGACAAAGTTAAAATATTCAACACAACAAAAACGAACCCTATTAAACACATACTTATTATATATTGAAGTGAAATAATGGTTGATGTGGTACATATTATTTTAATTTATCCTGGAATAATAAAAAAACCCAGCGTAAAATATAGTTGTGTAAAATATTATGTATGTTCAACAGTCTAATTTCAGAAAAAATATATGTTATGATTTTTATTTTTAACTATACAGTATCTGAAAAAAAAGTTACACTTTTGCTGGATAGTCGAATAAACACGAATCGATAATCCATTTGAAATGTAGTAACAAATAAATTTAATGTAAATAATATGAATTATTTTAAAGTTTAAGAATGTAAATCGTAGAAACTATATGTTAGTTTTGATCATCACCAATGATCAATATGCAATGGCACTTAAAATTTTTGATATTTTTTTCTAACAAAATTAAATTTTAGAAAGTTAAAAATAATAAGATATTTTAAAAATTCGATAGGTATATGTAGTCAAAACTTTTCTATTTATTTTCAATGTACCTATACATAGATGGTATTAAAAATAATAATTACGAAAAAAAAAAATATTAACCAAGTATAAAATTAATATTTATATTATTTGGTTGATATAACAATACATTTAAAATAATGTCGAATAATTATTTACTTCACCTTTATGAGTATTTTATAGAATTTTTCTTAGATTAATACTCATTATTTCAGAATACTGAAATGAGTAAATTTGACTAATTATGACTTTAATTCAAACTTAATATTTAGTTGAAAATTAATGAAGTTTACAGGAAATATTAATAGTAAATTATGGATGTGATATGTAAATATATAGAGTTACTAATATATTTTGAAAATCTTTTTTTAAAATAATACAGTTTTAATTTACGTAATTACGAATGTACGAAATTTTATCTTTAAATGCATCATTTTACATACTTATAAGTAATAACATAATTTAAAATATTTGATATTTATTAATTATACTTTCAATAAAAAATAACATAAAAATAATAGTAAAATTAACCCTATTTATTGTTTTTTTTTTTATCATTTTATGATCCAATGATAATTTTATATTATATAATCAAATAAAACAATTATTTCATATTTATATAGACAATACAACTTAGTTCTTATACATTTACTGAACTAAGCCCTATAAGTATCAGATGTATTTTATAAATCAACAGCTTTTAAACTTATAATCATATTTATTTCAAAAAATATTTAGGTAATCAGATTTTACATTATCGTGTATAAATATAATGAAAATCATATAAGCTTTTAGTGTTTATAATAATTATAAAATAATAATGGTGTTATGCGTTAAATATTTGTTGATATTTTTACAAAGACTTATTGATATATAGACTTCAATATATTTATGTTTTGCTGTCCTAAGCAAAATAAAATAATAAAATTGGTAAATTAACAAATTTTAATATTTTTTGATGTAAAAATTTGATACTATTTTTAAAGGAGTAAAATTGTCATATATAAACCAACAAAATGAAAAATTTACCTTTTTAACAATTAAAAACAAAACATTTGGTTGATATGTACGTTTTTTAATTTTACACTATTAATTTAAGTATTAAAATATGATTGTGAATAATTCGTGAATTCCATGAATAATGTTCATTAAATGTATGCGGCACGTAAGAATTTGTATACATTTTTTTATGTATTATGATTGTTAACCAGAGAAGTAAAGAATCATATCATTTGTTCTTGAATATATTTAAATTCGTTCGCGTGTAGAACTAAAAAAATCTGTACCAAATTATTATAATCAAATAGTATACTTGCGGTTGATACATTATGTATATTAATGTACCGATTTAATATTATAACGCTTTTTCCTTGTGCAGTGAACCATGAATATTACAAAAAAATGATTTAAAATGTTGTTTAAAATATTCATCTTAGATCATTTTTTATAAGGTTGATTATTTAATCATTAATTCGAAAAGAACGCGATGATTGGTTCCATGAGAATCGACTGCATTTCAAATGGACTATTAGACCATCCCAGCAGCATCTCCATTATAATTATTCAAGGTCGTCTGGATTCATTATGTTTTCAGATTCATACGTGGGGGTAATCGTGACTATAAATACACAGGGTACATTATATTTTGCATACACATTTTCACCCACATTGATTGTTCAGACGTTTAGCGGATCACATCCACAACATCACACTCTAACGACAATGCAGGATCTCAAGGTAAGTACAAAAAATTACACGGACCCCACCGACCGACGCGATCATGTTGCGTACAACACAATTCGCTGTCAGTCAAAGGTTATCTCTGATACGTTATTGTTTTTCAACAAGAAAAACTAGCCAAAAATCAACCGACGTGTTCTAATATTTTGTTGTTTTCCGTTGCAGACCGTTGCTCTGCTGTGCGCAGCTCTCGCCTGTGCTACGTACGCGGCCGAAGAACCATCGGCTCCGGCGCAGTACGATTTCACGTACGCGGTAAACGACCCGAGCACGGGCGACCAAAAGGACCAACAGGAGACGAGAAACGGCGACGACGTGACCGGCTACTACCGCACGTTGGACTCTGATGGCTACGTGCGCACGGTCAAATACAGGGCGGACGCGGTCAACGGCTTCACAGCCGAAGTGATCCGCGAGCCCACCGGGGCCACCGTGCCCGTAGCCGCGCCCGCCGTGCCGGTGGTCGCAAAGGCCGTGGTGAAACCGGTGATCGCCGCACCCGCACCGTACGTCGCTCCGGTGCCGTACGTTCCAGCCGCCCCCGCTGTCGCCCCGTACTACTACGGATCTTCCGCGTACCCGTACAACTACCAGCCGTACTCATACGGGTACCAACCGTACCCGTACTCGGCCGCGTACTCCCCGTACTCGTACAGCCAGTACCCGTTCAACAGCGCGTACACCGCTCCGGTCGTCCGCAAGTAAAAACGCCCTTACCGAACGCGTCCCTCGACGACCATGTACATACATAACTGCCACGCTCCCGTGAAGATTCGCACGGAATTCGTTCATATTCTCCTAATGTTTAGTCTCTGTACTTTGTTTCTTTGAATAATATGTATTTTATTGTAAAAAAGAAAAATCATTTTAAATAAATGTCTGCAGCTTTGAACAATACCTCGTATTATACTATTTTTATTCATTATTTTATTGACCACGTTCCATTTGACCGCTATCAACGATTTTTTTTAAATGTATACATATGAACTCCATGTATATACGGTTTAAATAATAATAAAAACCATAGTTTTATGTTCTATTGATTATACACACCATATAGTTTAGTTTATGTACCTACTTCATTTACTACGTACATTCGAATCCAACAAATTTTATAGTAATTTATAATATAATTAATAATTTATATTTATAATTTTATTGCGCTATGGTATGAGTTTATCTACAGATTCCCTTTTTGGACTGGTAAAAGAGAGTGTACAGTTAACTCTGTTCGTTTTCGTCTTAAATTATTGTTTGTTGTTTATTACATTTCAGCTTGCATACATTTATCGATTTAATGGCATTCATAAAAAACTGAACGGAGTGTTTTTAATCCTAACATTTTTATATTTTCCAGTATTAACTGTTTCTGTACTTTTTTTAAATATTGTCTATCTAATTCATCTAATTGTACTTCATTTGAAACCATATAATTAATTGTAGGTTAACCAACGATTTAAAACAAATGTACTTATATAATATTAATATGTTCTGAATGTAACGAGTAATGTATTATTTATTTTCTTAGTGTAGTAAATTCTTATGGAACATTTTGTATTACTTAGGAAAATAGACGTTATTATACAGCACAAAAAATATTTACCGAGTGTTCTAAAACCATTCCACACACGAGCGTTAATTTACGACCCGTTATTTTATAGTAATCACGATATTCACGATAAATATATACTAGTACATTTAATATTTAATTCTATTTAGTATTTGTCTATATTTAAACTTAACAACATCTAAGCAGATGAAAATACTGTTTTTTAGAGCTTACCAATTTTTTATTAAAAAAAAAAAAAAAAAAAAAAAAATGGAACAATGTTCATCCTTTGAATATTGACACGTCCTTCCAGAAGTGCATTTACTTAAATGTTTGAAAGTATCAAAAAAGATTCATTAAACTTTCGTATGCCATAGAATAAGTTTATTTTCAATAAACGAAATTAAAAGGTCAATGTCTAATCCTGTGCGTTTATTCTACATCTATTTTACTTTTAGCTAAATATTCATCTAACAACTTAATGGCTTTTGATACTTTATACACAAATGACGAATGAACGAATATTTAAAATCAAATAATAATCAGTCGCGTGTTTTATTACGGTGTGTGTTATCTCTTGTGTATCATTTTAATGCATTTCAACAGGAAGTTCTTATCGTGCGACATTTTTAACGTGCGGTAAAGTCAAGGTGCACGCGACAGTTTTCGAAATGTTAATGCATTAATTCTACGATGAGACACTCGTGTGTTGTGCTTTATTTATTTTATGTACTATAGACCGACAACACACGAGTGTCTCGATTTCGAAATCAGTCGTGGCACTATGACTTAATTTTTTTAA